CCTTGTGCATCAGATCCTTGACTTTCGGATTTTTTCCTGAATATACCGACTTCTCATCAGTAAACCATAGTTGAATCTCATCAAACTCCTTTGTCTGGAAACTACAATATTCTCCTAATTTGTCTCCTGTAGCCTTTTTGTCAGGAGATTTTTTAAAATGTAAACAAGATTATGACACTCCTTATTTAAAACTATCGGATGACTTTCTACCCCAAACCACTTACCATGTCCAAGGCCCTTCTTATCCGTTCTCCACCTCCTCTGCTGTGCTGTCATCCTCATTCATCACACTTCAGCTATGCTGGCCTTGGTACAGTTCTTTGAACATGCCACGCTTGTTCCCAGCTCACGACCTTTGTCCTTTTTGCTCTTGTCAACCCGGAGTACTTTGTCTCCCATCTTCGCATGGCTTGTTCCCTCACATTGTCAGCTCTTCACTCAAATTTCACCTCCTTGGAGCCGCTTTCCCTGACACTTGACCCTCTCTATCCTCTTACACGTTTTTCCCTAACACTTATCACCAGTTGAATTTATACTCCTTATTTACTATTTTCCCCATTCCAGTAAGCTCCATGAGGGTCTCTTACTTCTGTCTCCAGTGTGTAGGGCAGTGCTTGGCAAGTAGTAGGCACTCAGCATAGAGTCACTGAATTGATGAATGAATGAACTTTCAGGGGCAATTGGAGCAATTTTTTTTTTTCTTTAGGAAGAAAGGTTTATTTATATAAGTGCCGATGACTTTTTACCACTCTGGTCAAGATGGGCAGTAAGTGGGGGAAATCATTCTTCCAGTCTGATCGAGTTTTACTTTAGAAGCTGTTGTTTCTATTTAATTTTATGGCATTTTAATTTTAAATGTACCTATATGTATTATATGTGTGTCTGCCTTCTAGGGAAAATCTCATCGTGACCAACAACTTCTTCTTCTCAAGAAGCACCTAGAAAATAATTACAGGAGTAGAGATCGAAAGTGGATTGTTCTGTTCCCAGAAGGGGGCTTCCTCAGGAAGAGGCGAGAAACAAGTCAGGCATTTGCTGAGAAAAATAACTTGCCATTTCTTAAGCATGTCACTCTGCCAAGGATTGGGGCAACGAAAATTATTTTGAGTGCACTTGTAGCACGACAGGAAAATGGAAGTCCAGCAGGAGGAGATGCTAAAGAATTAGGTATGGTGGTTTTTTAGCATTTTCTCCTTTGTGAGAATTAAAAGGTTTTCTGGAGTTCAGAAGATGATGTTGTTCTTTTCTATCTTTATAATAGAAATAATACTCTGGGAGAAGATGAAAATATAATTTTTAAATGTTTCCATTTATAAAAGTAATCCATACTTACAATAATTTATTCCAATTATACAGAAATGCATAAAGTAAAAGATGTCTTTCCCTTGCCTTGCCTATCCTTACTCCTGGCCATTCCCACTACTGCAGTAAACAGTCCTATAAATATCTTTACACAGTTGTGGAAATATTTCTGTGGTGTAGATTCTTAGAAGTAGAATAACTAGATTAAAAGATATAGGGAGAGAAGTGACTAATTTGTAAAACAATCATAGATATGCAAATGAAATAGTAATAATATATATTTTGTCATTTATCAAATTTACCAAGATTTTTTTTTTTTGTAATACAGAAAATGAATTTAATGCAGTTTGGCAATATTTATTAAAAGCCTTAAAATATTGATAAATGACTCAGTTATTCAACTGAGAATAATACTATCAAAAGGAAATAATCTGAAATACTAGCAAAGAAGTTTATCACAGCATTATTTATAATAGCAAAAAATTGGAAATAGCTGAAAGGGAGAATGGATAAGTAATCATCAATTATCAAATATCCATCCAACAGAATACAATGCAGCCATTACAAATTATGTTTATGTAGAGTTTCTATTGTCTTGGAAAAATGCATATGCTCTGTAATGTTAATAGAGTGAGAGGAACATATGCCTCTGATGAAAACAATCTGAGCTCAAATATATAAACAATAAAGCAATAGAAAGGAAAGATATCAAAATGTTAGCAGTGATTGCTTCTCTGAGTTGTAACATCATGGATGATTTTTTTTCTCATTTCTTAATACTTTTCTGAATTTTTTAAAATAATGAGTATATATTACTTTATGGCCAGGAAAAAGTAAAACACACTCAGAGATGCAACTACATATCTTTGAGATAGGCTGGTGAATTGTGAAGTGTTATAGGTGACGTTTGGACCAACAGCATAAAGACTGTTATGAAGAAGTTTATCTAAGACAGGATGAAAGCTTGATGAGAGAAGCTGAAAGAAACTCACTAGGGGAAAAAAGAAGAAAAACTCAGTAGGCCTGTTTCCTTAGTGGCAGTTTGCTATTTTTTAAATATTCTTTAGATAAAATAAAAATAGAAATGATAAGTTCTCAGGAATATGTATTTTTAAATAAGGACCAGACATAGAAATAATGCCTGTGAGATTACACTGGCAATAAGGACCAGACATAGAAATAATGCCTGTGAGATTACACTGAGTTTTCCTTTCATTTGTGTTTTTAAGCAGCTGCTTGGCAGTCAGCTCTCTTAATCTTTCATCATCTATTAAAAAGACAAATTGAAAGAGTCTTTTAATAGAAAAGGAAAGTTCAGAATAGCTTCACTGCAAGAGAGACACTGTGGCAATGTCAGCCAAGCCAAAGCTTGAAGGGAAGGCCTTCCAAAAGGATTTGTTGCACTAATTAAGACTGCTGTTTTTAAATCGTTTTACCCAGTCAGTCTGTTCCCCTGTGAGGTCATAGATCTCTCAAAGGTAGGGGCAATTGTCGTACTGATTACACAATGGTGAAGAAAATGGTTTTTTCCTTGGGAACGAGACAATTTCTGTTTATAACCAAAGCAAAGTAGTTTATTATTTATCTTACCTTAGTTAAAGTTTTTATTCTAGCTGTTAGGAGAAATCATAAGAAATTCTAGAAAGTCTATACCTGAAAATTAGTTTTACTTGCATTTTACCATTTTTTTCTCTGTTTTGGTATTTTGTATTTTATTTTCTTTACTGTTCAAATTCATTATTTAGTGTTTTATTCCATATAAACTCAAAGCATGCCTTTGTATCTGTTTTACTATGTGAACCATACACATATCAAAATTAAATTGTATCTGATTAACTTTAAAAAGATTAATTTTTTTTCTTTGCTTATTAAATGATGTAATAGATATTAAACTGAACCCTGATGATTTTTTTCTCATGATTTTATTATAAAATTTTTATACATACATAAAACTTGAAAGAAGTTTACAATTAATATCTACGAACTAACCGGCTAGATTCTATAATTAACATTTTACTGTATTGGCTTTATCATATCTCTATCCATCCTTCTGTCTGCCCATTAGTCCATCCTGGTTTGTTTTTTTTTAATGCATCTCAACGTAAGTTGCATACATCAGTATACATTTCAGCATGTACATCACCATTATCTTGTCAAAGTGTGTTTTATTTCATAAACTCTGTTCCTTTAGTAATACAATATTTAAAAATAAATTATATTTTACTGATTTCTTTTATGGGTATTATTTTCCTTTCAGGGTGTTGTCTAAAATTTTTAAAGAATATCAAGCCAGTTTGTAATTATTTGACAGACGAAAGAAAAATATCGATTCTTAATGCATATTTGTTTTGGACTTATTTTTGAAAATGTTTTATTTTTTAGGAATCTCTTAAATACGTCAGACAAAGGATAGACCATTACATGTTAGTCTAGCTATCACCATCCCCTGTGAGGATTCCCCTCTCAATTCTTGCTCAACTCTGTACTCCATGCTGGCAATACAAACAGCGGGCAAAGTACAAAGTTGACAGCACGTCCCCATTCCCTCTCACAGTGACAGTACCGGTCGTACCTACCAAGGACAGACAAGTTTATTGCTTTATTTGTATGTAGCTCTTGCTAAAATAAGAGGACTTTTTCTGGTTTGTTTTAAATGAGCAGCAAGTGATGATCATGTGCATCAATATAATGCTCAATTTTATTGCCTTATTTCAGTATTTATTAGTGCCTCCCAGGTATCACAAACCTGGGTGTTCATATTATATTGTGTTATATTTAGTGAATGTTTTTGTTAGTTTTGAGATCTCTTTTTCACTTTTGTGATGTGATACTTTAGCTTCTGACCTTTTCATAGGGCAGTTTTTATGAGTGATAAAATATAAATTAGATCTTGATGCTGCATAATTGTATTGAATACTTGAACGATGCATGTCCAATAAATAATAGTGCTGTTATTTGTTAATTTGTTTAAGACTTATCTGTTTTATAATATAATAGGAAATGCTTAATTTCATCCTGAGTGCATTATGTAGAACAGTAACACCAAAGTTCATCCTGTTTTCTTAAAGCAGAAGGGATATCATCAGTATGCTTTATACTCCTCAAGTAATCTGTACTGTGTTATTTGCTGTAAATAATATAAAAATTGATCCAATTTTAAGTCATTTTTTGTTGTTGTTCTCAGACAGCAAATCAAAAGGCCTCCAGTGGATAATAGATACAACCATAGCATATCCTAAAGCTGAACCCATAGATATTCAGACCTGGATCCTTGCATACAGGAAACCAACAGTCACACATGTACATTACAGGTGAGAATTCTGTTAATACTAAGCATATCGCCAACATAAAGTACTATCTCAGGACAGTGTGAATGTTTCAATTTTAAATTTTTAATTGATATAATTGACTAAAAATCATTCGTATGCTGAATTTTTAACATGTAAATGTCATTTGAACTAGTATTTTGACTGAGTGATAAAAGTCTCTAAAAATTACATTCTAGGAACACTATGGTTACTTGATTGCCTGAAACTCTTGAGTAGAAGTAATTCTACACAAGTAATTAACTTAAAGGACAAACATCAAGGATAAATATATATTCATATGGATTAAGTAGACTTGTATTAATAGAAACAGAATTTGTTTTAAAGTATTAAGTCATGTAAGATTTTCTAATTGATTAAACTGATAAATTAGCTGTGACTTACTTTTAAATTTATAATATTTTAATATGCTTGTCATTTGCATAATCAACAACAGAAACATTTATTGAGTATTCTGTGCTAGAATTTTGAGATTTTTTCATGTAGATTTTTTAAAAAGAGTTTTATGTAAATATGTATAGATATTATATCCCAAGCATGGTGCTGATAAGGCATGGATACATTTGATCACTTTTTAAACCATTTATCTTTACTTTATTTCCTGGTCAAAGATCTCAACCCATGGCAACTGAATTATAAAGTGAGCAATTAGTCCCAAAGAAGATCACAACTGCCACAAAACCCTCAATTCAAGAGGGAAACTACTCAAATTACATACTCTTTGATAGTAAACAGCGTGTTTCATACAGGTAAATCACCAGAGTTTTTAAAATATAACTACACAGTTGGAATAATTTGAAACTTAAATTTTAGATTTTTAAATTAGATATTACAGTTTGGGTTTTTGACATATGAGGGACGACTGTAAAATTACGGTTGATTCTGCTGTGTGACTTATATCGCTAAATTACAAAATAATCTGTTTATTGCATATCTTGGAATTTTTTCCTGGCAGGAATATAGAAGATAAGAATGTAATTCTCAATGACTACTCTGATTCCATTCCATATATGTTATCCATTTTACTCAAATTAGTGAGCACTTAATATGTACAAAGCAATGTGCTAGGCCCTGGAAGGATTTCTCCAGGAACAGTTTTATTTTCATATGTATAAAACACATAGGTTTCATTAAGTTTTTAAATTTTAATCTATAAATGAAGCTGAATTCTAATGCCCAAGCCAGGAATATGTGGCTGTTGGATTTATGTTTTAGACACGTTTGATTGTGCCTGAGTTGTATATATGTAGATCATCCTAGCATAGCATACCCAAAAAGGACTGAGACAAGGAAGACAACATTAAATTATATAAGTGGTCAGTTATACTTGACCTTGCTTTTCTTTTTTAACCAATAAGTAGAAGAAATTTTAATTTATAGATACTCGAAAAATGAATGGAATAATAAGGGATCTTAGAAAATGAAGAAATGGTCATTTTTTGCAAAATTATTTTAACAAGAGCAAATGCAAGGCTCTTAAATTCACTTGAAACAGAGATTCTTAGCCCTGGGTCTCATAGATGGAAATGAGAAAAAATTTTAACTCAATTACTATACAAAAATTTGTGTATGCTTGCAGTTTTCTGTAGAGAAGATTCATAGCTTTCACTCTAGTCTCAAAATAGATTAAGTATTTAAAAAACAGATTAAGGACATCTGATTTAGAGATCAAAACTAAATAGTAGATAGAAGATGAGAAACGGTTAGTTCAATGCTAAAAAATACTTCTATTAATAAAATAGAGGCTTCTCAGAAATATATTTCTATAAGAAACTTTATTACCAGACAGAAATACTAAAAAAAATTTTTAATGTGTTAGATTAGCAGAGGTTAAATTATGGTTTAGAATCATACCCCAAATATGATTTAATTAATACAATGTACAAATTATACTTGATTATTTATTTACACACACACTTGCGCACTATGAACCTTGGGACATATAAGAAGATATACTTTTCTTCCTAGTAATTTAATAGAGATCATTCATTGTCAAACCAGTGTTAGGAAAAAGGAAGGATCTGTGCTCAGATGAGAAAGGGAGAGCAAACGAAAGAGCCAAGAGAGAGCGGAGGCATCTTGGTGTCAGGCAGTTTTGAGGTTTGTAAGAAGCCTGTGAGAAGGGATGTGGGCCATATCCTTAGCTCCCAGGAGTAAGTCTGTGTCAGCCGCAGGTTGACTAGTTCCCCTCACGTATTGTTCTAGGCCACCAGGACACCCCCAGGGATACAGAAAAAAAGATTGGTTTTTATTTGGGCTTTTTTTTTTTTGGTCACTTCCCAGCTTTCTCAATTTCAAAATAATCTGTTTATTGCATATCTTGGAATTTTTTCCTGGCAGGAATAATTCCATTGAAATTAATATAAATTTAAACAAAATGATATTCTTTACCTTTTTAATTTTGTTTTTTCTGTTCTCAGAAAGATCGGTTTTTGTTCAGCCTCTCCAGTTGTTTGGTTATATTTTAAAACTTTTAAACAAGGGTGGCGTGTTTTCAATTAGAATAAGAGATTTAAAATGCAACATTAGAAATCATATACACTAATATAAATAACCGGGATTCGATCTCTATTTCTTTTAATGTGGGGAGGTTGGCAAGAAAAGTTGAATAGCGTTGACTGCCTAAAGTGGGGAATGGGTGCCCAGAGAGGTAGGAAAAGGTGATCTAGAAACTATAAAGTTCACTGAAAAATAGTAGGTTTGCTTAATGTTGGCTTACTTATCTTCACCTACAGGCAGATTTTAAAAACTATTCGTGAATGTATTTTTTCCTGCAGTTAACTGTAATTTATCCAGAACATTGCAATTAACTCCTGTGGTGCCAGCTAATTTTGTTTCCCATGTCTAGAAAGTATTCGTTTTCTTTTTAACCCCAACTGACTTTAAAGAATAATAAAGCAGACCTCATTCTTAAAAAAATTAGTTTAAGTGATGACTTAGTGATTATGTTCAGCTGAGCAAGTTAATGTTCTCGCTGGTTTTTTCAGTATAATCTAGAGAAGCATGTATGTGAGAGTCAGAAGGGAATTATCCCATTCTGTTCAGCATTTATCAGCTCCCATTTTGGATATTACACGTAATTTCTCTAGTTTAAAAAACATAATACAGTTAGAAGGACATAAAAAGAGTTAATACAAATCCCCGAATACTAGTACCAATTAAAAGGCAGCTATTTTAGATCAAATCAGAGCAAATTTGGAGGTGGTAGTAATTTAATGAAACATACTTCTAAGAGAAACTCCAAATTGAAATACAAACAGGTTAAGGAGAAGTTTAACAATTCATAAATATTAAATTTGTAATAAGTTTCTATTGATCATATTTTAGATAAATTTCCTGGAGGTCAATAACTGTCCTTTTCTGTGTGATACATCTTGGTGCCTGCTGAGAGCCACAGAATGTGCCTTTGGGGGACTGGGGCACTCTACTACACTGTGACTTCCTAGCCATTACAATTCACTTGGGAAACAATAACACTGGCATAATTTATTTAACATTAATCAGTGGTTGGGCCATTTTTTATTTCCTTAATATGTTTCTTTTCTATTTTTGGAAATTATTGTCAAGGCTACCAAGTAAAGTCTGCTACCTCTTCTGTACTTCATTAGAACATGTTGTGACAGATGTATGGAGGTAGAAAGATAG